CTTCTCAACCTTTGGAATTTTCTTCCACGAAACCTCACCCGTCCACGAATGAAAATGAAACCGGTTGGAGAGTTGCTGGCTCATTAATCGCAGATACTAGATACGAAGAATCCATTAAGCAAGATGACGGTGTTAAGGAGCCTAACGATTCTATTAAGACGAATAAAAAGAAGATGGATCAAAGTACCGAGAAGGATAAAGAAAGCTCGGATAATCTTTTACTTTCGGTCATTTCCAGTACTCAAAAATGGCCGGTTCAATTCGATTACGAGGAATCGACGACGAAAGTGTCGGGTGTGGGGGTTGCGGAGCCGGTTCCGGATGTGGACGTTGAATTGGAACCGAGAAATCGGTATACGGAGGTCCAGGCCATGGACAAACAGCAGAATAACGCTTTGAAGGATAGAAAAGTTGACAAAAATGGGCAGGAGCCGATATATACGAGCTACAAGACTCCCGATTTGAACGGAGGTGGGATGAGACCGAGTTTAATCGAGAGTTCCGGCACTCTGAAACCATTCAGGCACACGATACCAGTGGACAAAATTACATCTGTCGTTGATTACAGTAAGAGAGACGAAGAGGGATCGTTAAAGCAAGAAATAAACACTGTGACGGATAGCATAATAAATCAAGAGAGATTCACCGAGGCTAGCCAATTAAGCGTAAACTCAAGTAAAGGAAATAACAAGGAGGCGATTAAGATTCTTCCAGAAAATTTGAAGGAAATCATAGAATTGGAAACTTTCAAGAAGACGAGCAACGATTCTGAAATGGTTTCTACGAAGAATTCGAGGATCGAGGAACACAGAGGAACGCGTCCAATCGAATTAAATACGGAGAGTATAATAGACGATGAAAAGTTTCTCAAGTTAAGCACCACGGAAGTTTATTCGGAGATGATACATCCGTTGTACAATAACGTTGATAAATTAGTCGTAAGAAACGAAGGAAATAAAGAGAGATTAACGTCCAACATTTCGAGGAATTCCACCTTCATCGAGATCGACACGTTGAAGCACACGCCAGGGGAGGACGAAGAGGACGATTCCTCCAAGGACAAATCATCGACGAAAAAGGAAGGATTTTTCAATGGAACCGTGAATCGACCCTACAATTCCCTCGAGACACGAAAAAAGATTTATAACGACACTTTGAAAGCTTACGTGGTGGAGAATTTAGTTACTCTTGCGCCTGCCAAGAGCAACACAGGAATCGGCAGGCCCGTAAGGCCAAGACCTAAGATCGATTACACCATTTCAGACGATTCTGAACTTCTGGACCGATTGTTTCGCGCACCTAGCCGTGACAGGAACACGACGAAACGCAATTCGTCCAACGGTCGAGACACCATCGCCTTTCAATCAACGACGAACAACGAGGGGAAAGACTCGAATAAGGAACATCCTAAGATAGAACAAATCGTGGAAGTGGTGACATCGATCAGCACCAAAGTGTCCTCGAATTTTAAAGGAAACCCTATCGTATTGAAATTCGTCGTTACCAACTCGACCTCCCTTCCAGTTATACATTCGGAATCGCATGGAGAACAAGTGTCATCTTCTCAGATATCAGTGCCTGAACAATTCTCCGTATTGGAGAAGAACAGTAAGGAAGAAAATCGATCGTTCGGAGATAGAGTTTCGAACAAGACGCCATCTTTAACGTCGGATAGAAAAATATCAACGATCGAAGAGAATAGATCTCTTTTGGAGAGATTGAAGCAATTCGCGGAGATTGGAGCGGAAAATGAGCCTGTAAAGGGGAAAGATAATTCCAAATCTCATGGGAATGTCTCGAATATCGAGCAGGAAGATCATCGGCCATTGCCCGATTTCGAGAAGTTGAAACAGATCGCAGATATCGCGACAGGGAACGAAACTTTGATGAATTCTAGCGCGGGATTTACGATGACTCGTGATGGTGTCGAAATATTAACGAAAATCTTGAATAAAATGGAGGATCGTACCGATAAAATGATTTCCAGTACCGAAGAAAATTTAGAAGCTGGTAATTTTATTTTCTGATTTTTCTGATTTATCATTAATAACGTTGGACGTTTCGTTGATGATTAATTATTTATCATCAATTAAACACGAATGGAATTAATTTCAAGGAAAAAATGTCAATCGATAATGATAATTACGGTGAATATATAAGATGAAATAAACATTCGAAATTAATTCTAATATACATTTATAATACCAGTTTCTTTTAATATCCAATATGTTAATGATTAATATTGCGTCAATTTATATCTTGTATTTACAATTCTTTTTCTTCGCTTAATTTACAAATTGAACTCTAGTTTTTAATATTTTTAATCCCAAACATATTCATATCTTTTTTTTAATCATAAATATTTACCTGTATAACTAACTTATGGATTGGAATTGTGCGAGTATCGAAGAATTTAAATTACTTTATTTACATTTCTCAATGTTTCATTATCGAGTTGTTGACGATTTTATTCGTGATTTAAGATTCTCAAGAAATATCACACGTTTTTTCAGATCATTGTTCCGGTTTCCAATGCAAAGATGGGAAATGCCTGTCTTCTAGCGGTAGATGTAACATGTTAGGTGAATGCTCGAATTCAGAGGACGAAATGAATTGTACGTGCGCCGACTTTTTAAAGGCGCAACTCTTACATCAAAAGATTTGTGACGGCGTGGCAGATTGTTGGGATTATTCGGACGAAACCGATTGCGGTACTTATCGATCGTTTATAAATAAAATATAAACCGTGA